GTTTTCTATCCAGAATCTTCCACTTACCTCCCTGTTCCCGCTTTTCTATTGTGACTCTTTGCAGAAAAGCTAAAATGAACGATACACCCTTTGTACACCAAACCGGCATTTCTGGGCTTCACCCGGAGAAAGCACCCTTTGCACACCAAACCGGCATTTCTGGGCTTCACCCGGAGAGAGAAGTCCGACTGGTTGATGACCACACCATATGCCAAGGAAACTGCGACCACGACACCCATCATAAAGACCAGGATTTCGGAGATGCTGCCAAGGAAAAGCTGAACAATGCCGGCCGTGCTATCAAGCATACCGCTGAAAAGATTGGCGACAAGGTGAGAGCCCACTGATATTTTCCTGTCTTTTTCACTCTAATCTATAACTGTTGAAGGCTGGAGAGCTGAAGGACAAGACCAAGCAGAAGATCCAGGATGGCGTCGACGCTGTTAAACACGACTAAACTCACAACTTAAATTCTTGCTGCCTAAGTATGTATATATTCCAATGCATAAGACAGGGATGTATGTAATCAAATATGGACGATGTAACGTTTTAGTTACGGATAAAGATGATAAGGAATGACTACTGACAACACAATAACTTGAGACAGATCATACAGACATGCAATCACCTACGACCGCAACTTGAAGAGATTATATAAAGACTCCTGGAAGTGTCACAGAAAAGACAAAATCCATTCAGGGGGATTAGTCAAGGGGAGACGGGCAAGAGCAAGGCAATCGTCAATTGCCGCTTTGTCACCAGGGCACAGCATTCGATGGGGATTTTGGTCGAGCTTTTTACGACCCCCCCCCCCTTTTTTTTCAGGGCTGGATCATAAAATCATGAAGTGAACCACGTAACTCTTAGCCAGAAATACGACCCCCCCCCCTCCAGAACGTCCGCAAAGCGAGGAAAATCAACTATAAAAATAAATTTTTCCCACAGCTCCAATTCCCAAATACGACCCCCCCCCTTTCAGCGGCCTCATACGACCCCCCCCCCGCCCGCCCAGGGAACCCCATCGAACGCTGTGCCCTGTTTGTCACGCGCGGCAATGGGCGCGATTTTCCCTTAACTTGTACCACCCTGTCGATTAGAGCACCGGATTTCATGCAGACAAGGACATGGTGAACATTTATGTCTATTTTCTGGTCATACATTGTCTATTCTCGACCAATACCTATAGAATCGTCGTCATTAGCAAGCGCGACGTCGCATGCGGCGCCCACTGGCGCGGCCAATTACGATTCTCTTGTCACTTTTACCCATAACTCAGCATTCTTGTGATCCCGACAGTTCCAACCGGTTCAGAATGGCATATAGGATAACGACAAACACGGCACTCATCCATCGCGGAGCAGGGGTCATGGTTATACCGTAATTAGAGTCGTATCAAAAACAACTTCAAAACGTAAAAACCCTTCGGATTATTGGTTCACTGCCGATATCGGCTAACCCATCACCGCGTTGAACCCGTGACTGCTTAAAGGCAACGGCACAAAAAGCCATTGAGCTGAGAGGGTAAGAGCGACCCCGTAGCGTAATGGATAACGCAAGCGCCCGGAGATGCGGGTTCGAGTCCTATCCCAAGTCTGATTTTTGCCCATATTGCAGCGTGAAGAGGGTGAGATGTTTTATGGTCAATGATGTTGCCTTGGTCGACTACAATGTCGTAAACATCGGAGCGCTATATAAGGCGCCCAAACATCGTGAATGGTGTGCTCCTTGATCCTCGGGAAGGAATTCAATTTCATTTTAGCATTCGTTTTCTATCACAGCTTCCTCTCCTCGTCTGCCGTTTTATCCTTTCTATGAACATCTTCACTGATCTTCCACTTACCTCCCTGTTCCCGCTTTTCTATTGTGACTCTTTGCAGAAAAGCTAAAATGAACGATACACCCTTTGTACACCAAACCGGCATTTCTGGGCTTCACCCGGAGAGAGAAGTTCGACTGGTTGATGACCACACCATATGCCAAGGAAACTGCGACCACGACACCCATCATAAAGACCAGGATTTCGGAGATGCTGCCAAGGAAAAGCTGAACAATGCCGGCCGTGCTATCAAGCATACCGCTGAAAAGATTGGCGACAAGGTGAGAGCCCATTGATACTTTCTGTGTCTTCGACTCTCATCTATCATGTTTGAAGGCTGGAGAGCTGAAGGACAAGACCAAGCAAAAGATCCAAGAAGGAGTCGACGCAGTTAAACGCAACCGATCTCACATATAAACTTTCTGCTACTTACGTATGTACAAATTTCCATGCTGAAGCAGTGATTTAATTAAATGTGGAAATAAATGTGAGGCTTGACTACGAATAAAAATCGGCTAATGGCTACTGACAGCACAAAATAACCTGAGGCAGTATCTCATACATACAGATGATCACCTACACCGTAACTTAAAGACAACCCCGTTGCATATTGTGCACAGTGGATTTCAATTGCAACTTATGGTCTCCATGTGATCCTCCAGGGGAGATAACTCAAAAAAAATCATGGAGAAGGAGCAAAGTCATTGAAAGATTGCGATGACCAGTGTACGCCGCAACCATGTATTATGTAGCGGTGTCAATACGACCTCACGAAAATTCCTCCGCTATGAAGCAATTTGCTATCCTCAACACCATCAGAGACTTTTCGAGTCTTTTCCCAAAAACTGGAGTCGAGCTCGAGCGGGAGTCAGAGGAAGGGTGGATGATACACCAATACACTACAATCACTGATCTCAACTAACTAGACCACTAGTCAGAGCCACCGTTGTTGGGGATTCTAACAGAGAGTCGCTTATTTGGATGTCGGTGGGAGGATAGGTTGGTGTCTGGCCCCGTTATTCGGAGGGATTATACAGCTAGCCTTCTTCTGGCAATCTCACTCGAACTGTATTTGCGGGAATGGTGTCAGCCTTCCACCAAACGCCTCTTGAAATCGCGCTCGTAGACCATTGCTTTAGGTCGACCGCTACGAGGTTCATCTTCAAGGCTGAAATCTCCAGAACGAAATTTGTCGAACCATTGTCGCACGGTGCATTTCTCCAACACTAGTAGCTGCACGTTCCCACACCTTCTTAATTTTTCGACGGACGTTGACTGCGCGAGTTGACCCATCTGTAGTGAAGAAAAATATCGTCCGAAGTTGCTCTTTTGACATGCTTCAAAAAGTCTTGGGAAAAGGGAAAAGGGGTTTATCAAGCAATGGTGAAACGGCAATTATACCATCAGATAGCGCAAAAAATTCTCTTCAGGATGTACTACTGAGACGCAAGGGAGAATGAGTTTTTAATCAGCAATGAATGTACAAAAATAGTAACACAAAACGCTGAGAACTTTCCGGATACAATCCGGACAACCTAATAATTCAGGACAGAAATGAGCAAAAAGCATGGGGGAGGGGCTTCATTTAGGGTAAGTTTCTTATTGTTTCTTTTTCATTCTTCGAGCTTATTCATGAACCTGTGAAGTTTCCTCCTCCTCAATGTTGCTTAAAAGAATTAGATTTGATTCTCAGGTAAATTCCTTTCTGGTTCTTTCTTTCGTTGTTTGAACTCGACCTGTAGATTATTATATAAGTGTTTCGGAAGTTGAACAGTTTAGCCAATAGAAAACTTTTAAAAACTTGCATTAATTGAAACAATGAAAACAAAAGAAACAAAGAGAAGCTCACCTATTAAATGAATTTGCACTCCCGGCCCAAGTAAAAGGTGAAACCATCTCCTCCCTTATATTCCAGATCCTCTTAGTAGAGAAAGTCCTCAGTTTCCAGCTAGTAGCCATTATTAAGAGAAAAAAGGTATAACAAGCTGGATCTCCTTATTTAAAAGAGAGCGGTCCAAGTATATAATAGCGTTGGGGCGCGCTCTGACGCGTACCGACGATCGCGGCGATCGCCACTGCTGTCGCGAAGTATGAACGCTGCCGTAACCCGTGCTGACTCACTTCTCTTAGGCTTGCATGCATTCGTCTCTATCTCTCGCTGTCCAGATCCTCGCCGCTTTCGCTGCCACGTCTATTGCTTCCCTCAGACGAGGACAGTATAAATGGATTTCAGTTTAGTGTATGCATGAACATCGGCACAGAACGTCTTCAGGTCACCCGGGAACCCGCCTATATTAGGTCCCACAAATCCATCACCTCACTATTTGAATAATTTTTAGTGTTCCTATAGGGCGCATTCAGGATCACCGACTGGATTGTTCTCCTGTACAACGTTCGGACAGTAGCAGAATACGGAGGATCGGACCGACCTCTTTTCACTAATCGGAACAGTGAACTATTCTCTTTTCGATCCTTGAGCCCTTATGGGGGTGGGCATGACAGTACAGTAATGACGATTTACCATGAGGCGATGCGTGAGGTGTTCCAGGTCAATAATGTCGTCTTAGTCGCCCACAATGTCGTAAACATCGTAGCGCTATAAAAAGTGTGGTCAACATGTATTTGGTTG